ACGATAGCAAGACTAGACTTCCTGGATAAAACCTGCCCGGACCAACTCTATAAAACCACCACTCTCCATTTCGGTGTCTTCTTCAACTATACCGACGCCGATGTGAACCTCACCTTGTACTATAATTGCTCCTCAGATTGGTTAAATTCAATTCCACCGGGCCCTACCTTCAAATATAGTTGTTCCACCAACGGTCTGAATAGCGAATTTTATARGTTGGTAACACCCAATTCCATCCTGCYTGATGCGAGCCAAGCTGCTGAGGAATGCAATGCAAATGTCACGGTTCCGGTTCTTGAGAGCGAAGCTAAGGGAATCGTGGCCACTCTGTCGAATCTGCCGACGATTTTGGAAAAGGGTTTTGAGGTAAGCTACAGTGGGTACAATGATCTGTGTGGGAAATGTGAGGATTCCGGTGGGCAATGCGGGTACAACTCGACTTTGTCGATGCCCATGTGTTTTTGCCCTAACCAGCCTTATTCAAATATGAGGTGCGGAGGTACGTATGAGTATGACCTTCTTTGCCTTTGTTATTGTTGCTTGCTTCGATTATAGTTTATTCGTAGTTGATAACTTACAGTACARATAATGGTTACTTATGGTCCAGTCTACATAAACATCAATACGGACTCAATGCAAAGAAGGGTAAAACTGAATGGAGAACCTACCGTTCTGTTTTGTGTGGCTTTGAGTTGCAGAGTCCAGTCAATCGTGGGTCGTGGCTCTGCATCATTCATGTATGTAAAAGCCTTTTGACTGGTTGCTGAACCGAACCGCGTGGATTACATATTGATACATTCTTGTCTTGCCCAATATCCCGCCTAATCCCCACCAAGACGCCGTTGTCTGACCGCTCCCTATATTCAATGCCAGCCTTGACGCAAGATGTTGCCCAAGACATCCAACATCCAGCTCAACACAACTTTCCTATAATATATAATCCCATTAATCTCATCATCATCATCCCATCCCACCATCATCTCAAGGCTCTTATTGAATCCTAGATTTCTGTTTCTGAATTCCGATAACGCCAACCTCTGCAACAAGAGCTGAGCGTGGGTCATGTCTTTTGCCCGGCTATTTTGTCTAGTTCTTGAGACAATCTCTACAGTCATGCATCACAACTGATTGCCATCTATCCATCCATTCAAACAAAGTGGCTTCCGTGGCTTAAACTTGTCTTGTTTGATTGATTTTCTTCTTAACCAGGAATTAGAAAAAACGGGTTACGTTCTTTCCGTTTTGGGTTGCTAAGCAATAGAAATCAAGTAGCGTTTGCTCCTATTCCGATCTACATCTCTCCCTCCCTCCCTTTCTCTCCCTCTGTGCTCTGGTCTCCAAGTGCTTTGTACGAACCATTGTTTGAATTAATAAAAGAAAACGATAACAAAACAAAAAAGCATTACTCATAAACATCTTCATTATCTTAGTGATAGCGTCATGCGTCCATGAAGCTAAGTGGAGACGGGGTTTCCCCTCTTCAAACTTTCGGTCTCACAAACCACCAAAATAATATCATGTTCCACATTTCTCTTCCAAATATGCCACAAATGCCCCCATAACGTACAAATGATGATGTCATTAGTACGTAATCCACACAAAAGTTGTATAGTCCCTTAAATCTGTTAAGTTGGACATAGAAAGAACAAAACTGAAGCTTAAGCTTCTTCAGTTCTCGCTTGCACAATCAATCTTGTGCTTTACTGTGCTCTATTTTTTAATGTTGCCCAACCTCAATTACCGCCAAGTGGAAATAAACCAATTCGCAAGCCCAAGTCAAACTCCAACCAACCACGAAAGAAAACCGCCCTGAATTCTCCCTCTCATTATCATCTTCTTTTTTTTTTTTTTTTATCTCCTCTGCTCTCCACTCTGTCCTGTTTTCTCCCATCTTTTCCTCCTAAATGGATCAAAACAACTCGTCCTCGGTCAAAACAGTTTTCTCTGTATTGATCAATATCATCTTTATGATGCTCAGCACCTTGGCACAAGGAACTCGATCAGCAGACCCACAGTTCGAAGCTTGTGCGCCTAGAAATTGTGGCAAGGGCCCATATATAAGCTACCCGTTTTGGATTCCTTCTCTCCAGCAATCCTACTGCGGCCTTCCAAGATCTGAGGTCACCTGCCAGAACAGTGAGCCCGTCCTTAAGATGCCAGATGGCGATTACCTCATCCAAGACATCTTCTACTCAAACAATTCATTCTGGGTGGTGGACATCAGGGCATTGAACAACGAATCCTGCCTGGCCCCCCTCCACAATTTTACCCTCCACGGCACTCCCTTTGAATTTGGCGATAATCACTTCAATCTCTTCTTCTACTACAACTGCTCCAATTCCCCTCCTGCAAATCACTTGGTATACCCAGTGACTTGTGCTAGCAATAACACCAGCCATCTCTCCTTCGCAATGTTTGTGTATGATGGGCAGTTTGGCTTGAATCTTTCTTTAGCGACATGCCAGTCAGTTGTTAGAGCACCCATAGACACAACACGTATTCAATTTAAAGAGCAAAATAACTATAGGGAGATTTTGAAGGAAAGATTTCTTTTGCAATGGAAGCCGAGTAATTGCATCAAATGTGAGGGCAGTGGCGGCCGTTGTGGACTCTATAATAAAAAATTCGTATGCTTTTGCCATGATGGACGGCATCGCTTAAGCTGCGGTGATGGTAAGCCAAATGGACATCCATGTGCTCTTCAGATTTCTTCCCTCATTCTTTTCAATAATTATTTACCAATTTAGGCTCGGAGGAAGAACATAGAACAGCATGGTCTCTGTGTTCTCTCTGTCTCTTCTTTACTTTTTCAATTTACTTTCTTTCTATCTTGTAGCTAGGAAAATTGATTGTATTGTGTTGTGACTTGTGGGAATCATCAATTTAGAGTGGTTAGAACTTAGAACTGAYCGCGCTACAGGGCCCTCTTTTATGTAGTTCGCACTTGTCACTGATATTGAAGCTTTCTCATAGTTTGGTTAACGAGTCCCCCTAGCGTATACCTCCTTCTTTTGTCCCCAGATATCTGTTCCATCGGATGAAACTGATGTCTTCCTTATGGAATCATTATGACTTCTTGCTCTTGTGTCATCTGAGAAGCCAGGAATGAAATTGACCCAAATCCAACTGTTTGATATACAGATATTTTTCTCGTAGGATCATATCCCACAAAACATTCTTAGATGTGATTCCTTTTCTTTCCCTTCCTTTCCTTTTCAGCATGTAATTTGAGTAACAGTTGCCCGAACACGATTTAACTGGTTTGAGGCTTGCATTGAACTTTTGGAACTAGAGGTAGGCTACAAAAGAAGACACAAGAAAATTGCAAGCCTAACAATAACAGACAATTTCAAGAGTTGAGAAAAGAACTGAAGGGAGATAGAGATACATTATCCATCTGAACCCCAAAACCTGATTGTGCTTCTAGAGTACTTGGTGATGGGTTATACTGTTGGCACCCAGGATCTGCATTTGCTTCAAACGTGTTCGAGTCCTTCCCTATTCTTTCCTTGATCGCTTATTGTGGAAACAACATCTTTGGCTTTTAGGTACGAGTACCTTTGTTTCATTATGAAAAATTACGTAGGAACTCCATGAATTAGTGATGTCTGATTAAGAATGGCAAGAGTGCGGGTTCAGGGAAGGCTTTGTAAATTCCAAACTCTACCCGTTTAACTAAACCTCCTAATTCATACCCTCCCTAAAACCCCTAGATTGGATTCTGATAATAAATTCAAACTCTCCCCCACACTTGAAAATGCAAAACCCTCTCCAACCGTACCCTCCCCTCCCACATTCAAGGGTAGGACAGGTTGGGTTTAGAACTCACATCTAATTTTTTATTACATATTTCTTGTTATATATAAGTAATAAATAAGTAAAATAACATGAACAAAAAGCAAAATTTCTAATTCTTTGATTAAGACATAAATTTCAAATATCCTTCACATAAAATTCAAAATATTATTAAATTCAACACATAAAGTCAGGAAAGGTCAGGTTTAGCCTAATACTATACCCTATTTGTACAAGAATTGTAAAATCTCAAAACCTATCCCTGCCCCAAAACCCGTCATTCAAGCAAAAAAAATCCAGCACGGTTGAGGCCTGTATCCACTCGGTAGGATAGAAATTGTCATCCCTATGTCTGAAAATCAACAAGAGACTTCTCATCTTTGCTTTCATGTATCCGTATTTTGATATGCTCCTTCTTCTACTCCATCTAAGAACACGCTCCAATTATCTCACACTTTTATAATTTTTGATGTTATTTTGTTTGTAGTGCCCATTGTTTTTTTTGGGTAAATTACTGTACCCTTCCTCGCTTCTTGTATTTCTTTTCCTTGGCTTCATCACTTCTGCAGAGGACTATGACCGAAAGTCTGGTCTCTGCCAATCCATATCCTCGCGATTTTCCTATATACTTTCTTCTACGCTACCTTGTCTTTTTCTTCGTGTTAATTAGAGGATGCTACTGTTTCTGGTCATTGTGTTCATACATACCACTCTAGTTTTCGTTTTCTGGGATCAATGTAGAAACAGGAGGGGTTGCTTCCATGATAAACGAGTGCTGCGTATTTTTCATCGTTTGGTCATCATATTGACGTGCATTTCAAATAAGCGGAAAGTCAAGACTTGGCTTCTCAACTTTATTTGATTTGGGATGATTATGGAAGGTCAGTCTTTGCTAGTCATACAAGTGGGAACAGATATATAATATTCTTGTCGAAGTCAACTGACGTGTCAACGGGGCCCGTATTAACTCATCTTTCTTGTTTTCTCTTTTATCTGTCTGCTTTCAGAGTAGAAATATAAAAGAGAGAAGATTCCGGTTGGAGTTAGGGTGAGTGTTGATTAGTTAATTATAAGGTCAGATCGATCAGATGGGTTCCCATGGCTCTGTTGTTATTGTTGTTGCAGTCATCTTCCTTCTTCTGTTGCACCACCTTGCTTTGCAGTTGGAGTCAGCCGAAGATGACTTGTTCTTCGCAGCACGATGCCATCCGTTTGAGTGTGGGAATCTCAACAACATCAGCTACCCATTTTCCAATTCACAACATCCCGAATGCGGGTTAAGCGTTATCCATTGCGATGAATATAACAGACCTATTATTTATTTTGATTTTGGTGGTGAAAGCAAACGCTACGAAGTTGAAGCAATCCATGACAATAATAACACTATTGTGATCCGTCACTTCCCAGATGGTGATCAAGACGGAGGAGTGGAGGAGGCAGCCTGTCACTTACACAGTTTCACGACACCCACTTTCTCCAATTTGGTCACTACTCTCTTGTTTCAAGTAATTAGCCCTAACCTTACCTTGGTCRCGTGTTCTTACAACACCGAGTATTCCCCACCAAAAGAAATCGTGAATCAATTTTTCGAGTACACCTATTATTGTCCGGGGCGGGGGGGCCTTGCATGCCTTCTACCAGAACGGCGATCCAAAGCAGGGTCGATCACTCTCCTATGTTTCAAAGGATTTTTGTTCAGTCTTC